GACGCATGGATAGATGGATAGAGATATTTCTGACCAATCAGAGCTCTGCAGCTCTCAGTGCGCTGCTGCTTTAAGACTCGTCTCTGCATCTTTTTTTCTCCTCTCGTCGCACACAAGGGGCTCTTTAAGCCCTGGCTCCGGACACACAGAGCAGGCATTCATTCTGAGGCTGCGTGAGAGCGCGAGGGGGCTGGGGAGCGAGCGTCACTTTGGAAACACGGATTTTCGAGCTGAAAGCGGCGACCTCCTTTTCTCATTGCTGAAGTAAGAGCATTTCCAAGTCTTTGCTGTGTGCTGCTGGTGGCTGCTCCCACCCTGAGATCTGATCGTTTCTTCAGGCTGAAACTTGTAGACACAAACTTCAGAGTTAGATTTTAATGGAAATGTTTCCTTTTTTTTATGAAATTTGAGGGGTTTCTGAGCTGTACAAATATGGGAAGGTTTCAGACATGGTCTTTTTGGTTTAAAAGTCTAAATTTATTTTCATTTTGAGATTTCTTACTTTATTCCGGAACAAGTGCTTCTTCTACAAACTGATTTATTTCAGATATTTATTCGTTGGATCATCGATTTTCATGCTTTAAAATGTAAACTCTAAGGTTTTGACTTTGCGCCAGATTACCATTTTCACTGGTTTGGATAAAAGATTTGATTTTTTAGCAAGAACTGCTACTGTGTAGTTTTACACTAAAACTCGATTTTTTTTAATTATTATTTAAACTGTATCTTGCTGCTTAATTGGGGCTGTAGGCGCAGGATAAGCTTAACAAAGAAAACAAACAAACTTTCCAGCGAGCAAATTGAGGCCAACTTATTGACCAGTCAGGCGGTGGTAATGAGTTCCCATCGCTGGAATTCATTACGCGCAGCAAATGTGCTCAGAAGCAGACTGAAAGAGTCTAAAGGGTGTGTCGAAAACAATTTACATAATCCTGTCTGTCTGATCTGGTTATAAAAAATGAGACATTTGCTGCTGAGGAGAGGACATGAGTGGATTGACTCGCTTTCCCTGAAGCATCAGGAATAATAAAGGAGATTTATAATTGAAAGTGAAGAAAAACTCAGTTAAGTTTTGGTTTTCTCTTCTCACATTAAGCAGTCAGCCTGTGACGCAGCACCGCGCGTAAAAAAGCCATTGCTTCGCCTTTACGCACGGGTTTTACGCACAGGGATCTCTTGAGATGTAATGACAGCCTGCAGACCAGGTGGCATGCGAATATCAGCACTTGGACAGGTGGTGGAGCTTTACCAGTCTTTCTGCTGGAAAATAATCCACCTGACAGCCATTCAAATGTTAATTAATTAGCTGTTTTTGACAGACGTTTATTAGGACACTCTGTAACGTGATAACCATTGGTGTGGGTTTGTTTTTAAAGAAAGGAAACACCCATTGTAGATAATCAGCAAAATGCTCAAAAATGCTGTTTCTGATTACCATTAACTTGCAAATTCCCTCTCTCAAACAGACACTGGCACAGCTGGATTTCAAATTAATCATAATCAGTTTAGCTGCTGGTTAGGTTTGCTGATTTGGCACGTTACTCTTGAGGGTGAGGTTATTGCTCCCACCGGTAGACCTGCCCCCTGTTCCGAACCGCCCTCAGACACTCGCGGACACACGGGGTTTGTGTCTGCAGCGCCAGGTCATGTTTGCGCACGAGCGGAGGATAAATCCGAGCTCTGTGCTCTTGTTATTCCAGCGCGCGCTCTCCAGGGAGCTTGTAATAACTGTAAAATTTTGCTGGTTTGGAGACCCACGCAGGAAAGGCTGTAAATATGTTGCTGAGAAAATGTTAAGGTTCTCCTCAGAGCCACATGTTAGAACTTTTTACGCACAATCAAAGTCCCCCTGCAATAATCACAGCAGCAACTTTTTGTTGACGCACAAGCACACATGTGTTTTATTGTTTATCTGATTGACTGAAATGATGCCCCTGTTCCAGGTCCTCACTGTTGGGTTTTTAAGTGCGGGAGCAGAGGCAGACGGGGAAGGGAGGCCGGGTGAGTTTGGATCTGACCGCTTTCCATTAGCAGGTAAACTGGGGTCCAACGTGCGCACTGAGCCGCCTATGATACCAACCACACGGATGGAAAGAACTTTGATGTGGAATCCTCACAGAGTTTTGCAGCGGAGGCTGAGAGTAGAGACAGACTGGCAGTTTATATTATAACTTACAGAAGTAGATCAGAGAGACAGAGCAGCTGCTGCCACTCATTGTAGGTCAGAAACACTCAAAGCAGGAGGACGACAGGTAGAGCGGCGCGTTTAGGAGCACGATTCATTGACCCTCTGGAGGCGAGTCTGTGGAGGAAGATGTCCAGAGAGGAGCAGAGCTTCTCGGAGGTCGAGTCCGACGACAGCCGGTCCCTGTCGCCGGGTCACTCCTCCGGCGCGGCGGGCGGGAGCGACTCTCCCCTCCGCGTGCAGCAGCCGACGCTGGCGGCGCTGCACGACGACGCGTCCGCGGGCTGCTCGTCCGTGAGGTCCGAGGACGAGGACGAGCGCTTCCCCGCTGGCATCCGCGACGCGGTGAGCCAGGTGCTCAACTGCTACGACTGGACCATCGTGCCCGTGCCCGTGCGCGTGAACGCGGGCAGCAAGAGCAAGTCGCACGTGAAGAGGCCGATGAACGCCTTCATGGTGTGGGCGCAGGCGGCGCGGAGGAAGCTGGCGGACCAACACCCCCACCTGCACAACGCCGAGCTCAGCAAGACCCTGGGGAAGCTGTGGAGGTGAGGAGGAGGATTTTTAACCTCTGAATACTCTGATGATGCTCCCTCACATCAGCGTGTGTCAGAATAAAACCAAAGCAACACTGAAATATCACCCTGCCCTGATGTAGTTTAAATAAAGACAGGTGAAGAAGAAGAAGAAAGAGGTCAGAGTCAGAGCTAAAATTATATCTTAAAATTAAACTGATTTTATAGCAGGAACAATCTATTGAGCAGTTTATTTTTCAGATCGCCCTTATGGCATAAAGTGCAGTTTTGTATAATTTCTAACTCTTTCCCAAAACTTTGAGAATCTATGGGGCAATTAAAGCACACAGGGCAGTTATGGAGACAATGAGGTGTGAGACATGATGCGAATTAATATAGTGCCAAAAAAAGTCAAGATGATGTTGATGAAACAAACAAACACTATTGTGACAACTTTATCATAGCATATGATGTTTTAACAAAATGCATTTTGCTGTCTTATAAAGAGCTAGAGATATATTTTAAAGAGTCATTCTGTGGATATTAATAATTAATATCTTACCTGCTGTAGATAGATCTTTAACAAGCTCCGTTTGGAGAAACAAACTTTAATTCTAACTGGACTGATGAGCTAATCCAAGCAACATCAAGGCCAAATTACTGTTGTCCCTAAACAACTCAAAGCTTTAAAATGTCATAGTTTGTACAAATGTTTTTATTTTTTTTTAATATTTGTTTGATTTATTTTGAAGATTGCTTTAGTGAAAGTGGCCTCACATACAATCAATATTATTTTGTTGATGCTTTCTGGGATCCCCTTTCAAAGCAAATGTGGCAATTTTAAAATAATTTAGGATTTTAAATATGTTCGTGCAAACACATTAAAACATTTACACTGCCATCAGTTTTGTTTTGGATGGGTGTTTAACTGCTGAAGTTTCCCAGGCTGCACTAAAAGCGCTATATATCACTGCAACTGCCATTTACACCTAAATCATTGTAACAGTGTATAGGCTTATAAATCAATGATCACATAAACAACCATAAAAGTTTGGAAATCGAAGGTGATTCAATGCAGCAACAGGCTTTGGTCTTGGCCTCCTTCAGTCCAGCCATTAACTTGTCAGTTCTGTTAGTTAAATCTAAGTTTGTTCAAAAAGCCATGATAGGTGCAATATTAATCTTTTGTAACATTTTAACAAAACCCCACTTCCAAAAGTCTGAATTATTTCTTTAATGGCCTCTTTTGGTTGCAGCTCACGAGTTGTTTTTGTGAGCATCTCATATAAAGTCAAGCCCCCCCCACCCCCACCCCCACCACTGACAAGGAGACTATTTTATCCCTATTAACTTCAGAATTTGAAGTAAAATGTCTATCGGCCAAGTCAAAAGTTGTTGCAAAGCAAGGGTTCAAATTATTCTGACGGGATCTCACATTTTAAAAATCACTAATCTGGCTTGTCTCAACGTTCTGAACTTTCAGTTTCAGAGTTTTTCAGACATTGTGGGTTCGTTTAGGAACCCTAAAGGTCCATGAAACATCCTGAGTCTGCAGTCAGCCCTGCTTTGCTATTTTCTTTGCAAGAACACTCCTTAATTCATGTTTGATAAGTTAAACAAATTAACCTGAATAGGATTAAATATAAATTAGATAAAGACTTGACATTGGGCTCAGTCAGGATTAACTAATTGAACCTGAAACATGACGAACCATGGGGCTGGGGAAGGTCAGAGGTTTCTCACTCTTGTCAGCAGTGGTAGAAGTAGGAGCTGCAGTTCATAATAAACAGGATGCAACCTCTGCCTGTGATTTTACTACTGTCCAGCATCCAGACCCTCCCCCGACAGCATGCCATCAGATGCAGCAGAGTTCCAGTGAAGCTAAGATTATGCATCTTTTAAAAATGCACCAACGTTGATTAAATTTACTTTGATTAAGCTTTATTTTTATCCTCATATGGTGCTATTTTTAACTTACATCTAAATGTTCTCAACTGCTACTCTGTTTTTTTAATTAAAATTGTTTCTTGAACTGATAGACTTCTCAAAGTGTTCGGCACTTTTTGTTTCTGACCGTTACTCTAAACAGATCAGTTTCTCAAATCTTTTTGTTTCTCTCTCCACCGGAGGCTTCTCAATGAGAGCGACAAGCGACCCTTCATCGAGGAGGCAGAGAGGCTGAGGAAGCAACACAAGAAGGACTACCCGGACTACAAATACCAGCCGCGGCGCCGCAAAAATGGAAAGCCCGGTTCCAGTTCAGGAAGTGAGGGCGACGGCCATTTGGAGGGTGAGGTCAGCCACAACCAGTCCCACTACAAGGTTCTCCACCTGGAAGTGGTCCGCAGTGGGGGAGCCGGGTCCCTTCTGGCAGATGAGCACCACCCTCATACTGCAGGTGGGCTGCAGGCTCCCTCCCACAGATACCACTCAGTGTTACTGTTAGATCTGTGAGGAGTCCATTGGGCAGGACAGCTAGGCGAATGTTTGTGACTGATGGAAGTAAACGAGGTGTAACTACATTCTTGTGTCTCCACAGGTCAGAGCCACAGTCCTCCCACGCCTCCCACCACTCCTAAAACCGAGTCTCAGTCTGGGAAGTCAGGGGAAGGTAAGAGGGAGTGCGCTGGGAATGGGGGGTCCCGTGGACCTCAAGGAGCAGAAGCAGGTTCAGGTACATCTGGATCTGGAAAACCTCATATAGACTTTGGTAATGTGGACATTGGTGAGATGAGCCATGAGGTGATGGCCAACATGGAGCCTTTCGATGTCAATGAGTTTGACCAGTACCTTCCCCCGAATGGGCACCCAGGGGTTGGGCAGATTGGCGGGACAGGAGGGGCTGCAGCAGCCTCTCCCTACACTTACGGCATCTCATCAGCTCTGGCGGCGGCCAGCGGACACTCAGCAGCCTGGCTCTCCAAGCAGCAGCCGCAGCAGCACCACGGCTCCCCTTTGGGCTCGGACTCTTCCAAGGCACAAATCAAGAGCGAGACTGCGGGTGCTGGGGGTCACTTTGCAGAAGCAGCCTCGGCTGGTACTCACGTCACCTATACCCCTCTCAGCCTGCCTCACTACAGCTCTGCCTTCCCCTCACTGGCCTCACGGGCTCAGTTTGCAGAATATGCCGAGCACCATGCCTCCGGGTCGTACTACGGCCACTCCAGCCAGGCCTCAGGGCTGTATTCAGCCTTCTCCTACACAGGGCCTTCCCAGAGGCCCCTCTACACTGCCATCACTGACCCAGCCAGTGTGTCACAATCGCACAGCCCCACACACTGGGAGCAGCCCGTCTACACCACACTGTCGCGGCCATGACAGACAACGAGACCAGAGGGCACCGCTGCAGGTTCAGCCCCAGAGTCAGACCAGAGGAGGAGCTGCAGCTACAGCGGAGCTGTTGGAGGCATCGGCGATGAAGGTGGTCCGGTCTGGGGCGGGTGGGCAAGCACTGGAGGCACCAGCTGGGGAGGCAGGAGGGGTGAGCCCTTCTTCTGATCTCGCCCAGATGTGGAAATGCTGTCACAGCCCGAGGCCAGCTTCGAGTGGTGATTTCGAGAAGTGTTTGATTTATTGGTGATGCAAAGACCCAACCAAAACCACCGCCACACGGCTTTCTGACGCTGTAAACAACCGCCTTAAGGGTGGTGAGGGGTCATGATCCCATCAGCTTGAAGTCTAAAAACCTTCTAAAGGCCAAGAGAGAGGTCAGCAGCAACACAATGAGAATAAATAAGTCAATATAGGGTGAGCCATAATCATTCTGTATGAATTAGCCACAAAAATGCCAAACTATGAGCTGGCTTTACATTTATAAGTCAGGGTTGACCTTTTGTTTTGTATATTTTGGGATAATCCTGATATCAGTGTTTAAACAGATCACAAATATGTGTTCCCAAAAGTGTTTTTATACAGACAATAAACAGGAATAAAACCACGATTCACACAAGGTGAGGTGTGAAGTTAGGCAACTTGCACAACAACTCAGTGGTACTAATATAAACGATGCAGTACTTGAAGTTACAAATGTACCTACTGTATATACATAGATTTAAAATATTTGTCAAACGACCAAAGTTTTGAGACCAAAACTTTTTACTTTTTCTAGAGAAGAAACTATTTTTAAGAGATGTTTCTCCCAACGTGACACTCAGAACTACCTGACGTTTTGTAGCCAATTCAGGGGTTCCCAACCCTGGTCCTTGAGGAACACCATCCTGCATGTTTTAGTTGTTTCTCTGCTCTGACACACCTGATTTTAGTTAATGAGTAATTAACAGGCTTCTGCAGAACATGAGGAAGTAATTAAATCACTGAATCAGGTGTGTTGGAGCAGGGAAACAACTAAAACATGCAGTATGGTGTTCCTCAAGGACAAGGGTTGGGAACCATTGAAGTAGATAATTTAATTTCATGGTGATATATTAATTTACTTTAAAATGTCTTTGTGTCAAAATATGTCATTTTTTACATTGGCACTGATGTTACCCTTTTTAATTATGATTTAGAGCCAATGACAGTTATATTTATGTTCAAATGGTAAAGTTTTATTGAAAAGATTAGAGAACATAGCCAAGAAACGTTCTTGCTTTTTTTTTTTTTTTTTTGCTGGAATTAAATTTTTTTATTGCCTTTATTATCTTTAATGAAAACCTTTATGCTGTTTGCTTTTTGCTTGAGTGTAAGTCACGTCTCTAAAGAGCAGTATTCAGTGTTAATAATGAAACAAATTTGATTGTATAAATCTAAAAATTAAATGCAGAGATGATGTTGCCACAGGTGAAGCCTTTTAACACAAGCTAATATAAAATGTAAAAAATGTGCCTTGTTCTCATTAACACTAACAAATGGTGCAGAAGTGTAAAAGCCTCTAATTCAGTTTCTGTTTTTCTCTTTCAGCTTTTGAATTGTTAGTTTATGTACTTTTAGTTGCATTGTTTAGACCAACTTGGTTTTGTCCAACGTTTGGTCATTTTCTATATTACAAATGTTCTTTAAAATTCTAAAATATGTAACTCTTAAATAGATAAAGTTTATAAGCATGCATAACATTTTATTTGCAATGTTTTATGTACTGACATGAATTTAAACTGCTTGTTTTACTGCTCAAAGTTTTAATGTTGGTCTTATTTAGTTTCCTCCAGCAGAACTGAAGTCAGCTTTATGAGCATTATCAATATTTTTGTGTGCTTTATGTTATTTTGGGCTGTTTGTTTCTCCTTGTTACGAGAAAATCCTTAACTGTTTCTATAACTTTCAGCAACTTGACACAGCTACACAATGCCTAAACATAACAGAAGCAAAAGCCTTAACGTGTGAGGACTAATCGATCATTTTACTCGTTTTTGTGAAATAAAGCTGTTTTTTTTCTTGCTTGAATTCAAATCTGCCTCTTCAAATGTTCTTGGGGTTAATAGAAGTGATGCAAACTTCATGCTACAAACAGGAACACAAACATCTGACAAAAACACAAAGAGAAATTCTCTGACTGGTTTTCTGATCAAATCGTCTCAGCTGATGGATGACTAGTTTCATCTGACTGGAGGTCAGCTCACAGATGCAACAGTCGGATGGGATGAGAACTTCTACATGCAAGCAAAGGAATTGTGATGAACTGTCAGGAGAAAGAAAAAGCAAAAAGTGAAGTTTCTATACTTTTTTGATTAAAAACTGCAATTGAAGGTTTCTTTAAACTTAATTCTTTCATAGTGTTGGTGGTGTGAATGCATAGTTTAGCTTTCATGCGCACATACGTGAGTTTCTCTGTCGGGTTTTGCCTCCTAATTCTCCCTCTTTAATCGGCTCTGTGATACTTTGAAAAGACAAAGAGGGCCATTGATGGGAATGTGGGGAGGGGGGGTGGAAAGAGGGCAGTGAGGGAGCCTTATAACTGCTCTGACTGCAGCTTCACTGGGACAAAGACCCTTACTCCCTGCACATCAACCCCACCATCACATGCTATGAAATGAAGCAAATCAACCATTAAGATGTAAGAAAATGATTGAGCAGCATAAGCAGCTTGATGTTCTTGTGCTGAACATAAGATGTTTAAAGTTCACAGGGTTGTAACCAACCTCCACACAAGCAGGAGGAAAATAGCAAATTGAAGAAACAGGTAACGCAAATGATGTTAAAGCAACTTCTAAAGAGATTAGAGGTGAAGCTACGTTGTTCTCAGATCACACGCGTTTGAGCCAAAATGGACTTAATGAAGAATGACTGACACCAAACAGAAAGAGTACAACTTGACATTCGAATGGACAAGCCAAAGGCTCCTGGGAGAATGTCTTTTGGACAGATGAGACAAAACTAGGGCTTTTAGGCAACGAGTCCTGTCCGCCCTGTTCAGACCCACAAACTCAAATGATTTTGTGTCCTGATGACCTCACAGCGTTCGGTGCGAGCGTCACATGTGCTGCCCTCTCCACCCCACGAGACAAACGCAGCTTTGCCCCGAGGCCCCGTTCTCTACAATCAAGACTTCTGGATCAAAGCAAAAACAAATGTCTTCAAAATACATCCATCGTTCTTTTACGCGTATCGTTCGCCTTAACATACTGGTTTTCAACACACCAGAGTACTTTTCTAAAAATTCCAACCTCCAGTGCACACTTACCATTATTCTGCTTCAACTCTAAATTGTCCCTACGTTTGAGTGAGTGTTGTCTGTGTCCCTGTGATGGACTGGAGACCTGTCCAGGGTGTCCCCCACCTCCCACACACAGTGACTGCTGGATATGAGCACCAGTGACCCCCGCGACCCAGAAAGGAAGAAGCAGGATAATGGATGGAACTCATTTCTCTTCATCAACACTTAAGTTTTACTGCTTTGCATACGTTTGTCTGAGCGAGGACGTCTCCTTTATATAACCTGCAGCGTCGCTTTAAGACAGCCTCTTAATATTTAAACTAAACCAGTAAAGAAATTTAAATGTCAGGTTTTCCACTGTTTAAAGATCACATTTTAGTTTTAGCTGAAATTTTGTACAAGTATTGTGACTTTCCAGTTTGGTTTCATACTAAATTTGAAGCCAATAAACATGAACGTTCTCTAAGAAATGTCATTTATTGGTTTCAGAGGAAGACTGATATTAAGTAATCGTAATACAATTTAATGTAACAAACGTGTTTAAACGACCTACAGCTGACCTGCGCCATCAGTTAGAAAATGAGAAATGATTTCAGATGTAAAACACATCATCACAGACATTTTACCACAGCTGCATTGAATAATAAAAAAGGACAGTTTATTCAGTGCTGTGCTCCTAACTCTTTATCAGCCTGTTAGCTACAAGCTGTTACACACTGCAAAGACATGAAACACATCAATAACAGCAGCTTATAAAAAAGAGTTTATTAACAACAGTAAAACATCAAATGTACACTTATAATCTTTTGAGGAAAAAAAACAAACATAGTTACAACACTGGATTATTTTCTAAAAAAAAAAAAAAAGTCTGACTAAAGTTCCCTCGTCTTGTTTCTCCTACTTACAATGCAGCTGTTAAAACAATGGGAATAAATTACGTCACCACCTTAAACCTAAATGAGCGAGCAAATGAGAAACTCTGCACTTCAGGAACTCCTGTGGGTTGGAGAAACTCTAAAAGTCCAAACATTAGACGTAATGTTTTGTGAGAGCAGACAGATGAGAGGTTTAGTCAGTGACGATGAGCTCATCACAGCCCCAGTCCTCATAACTCCCATCAGGAAGGTACCTGCGGATGATGATGGGGATCTTTCTGCTCCTGTTGGAGAAAAGAACACAGCGAGTGAGATAATTTGCTCTCTAAATAAAGACAAAAGACATATTGTGTTAGATAAAGCACTGAAATAGTCTTACTTCAGTTCTTTCATAGCGATTTGCAGAGGGTCTGTTTCTCCCTCCAGTTCCACCATAACAGGAGCGCACATCCTGATGGAAACACAGTGGCAATGGTCAGGTGTTTATTATAATCCTTAAAGAAAAGGAGCTCTTTTAGCACAGAAACACTGAAACATCCGTCA